TATAAAACACCGTTTCAAATCCTAATAAAAGCTTTCAGGCCAAAGAGGTCTCCTTAATCAATAAAAAAAAAAAAAAATTCTAATACAAACTAACACAACTTTGACTACATATTGTGTATTGCCAAAATAGTGAGTAAATTATATAATAGAGCTTTTATAGCACTGTACTTTATGATAAAATCATAATAATTCTAATGAAAGCTATGTATTATCAGAATAGCAAGTTCTGTAGTAGAGTTTTTTACAGCAGCTCAACTCATTGATTCCAATACAAAATCAACTAAACCTTAACTATATACTGTATACACCAAAATAGTAAGTTCTGTAACAATTTTTTATAATAGAAATCATAATATTTCTAATACAAACTAACTTAATCACATATTGTGTATTACTAAATATTCTGTAAAAACTTTTTTACAGTAACTTATAATAGAAATTATAATAGTTTTATTGTTAATCTTAATCACATACTGTGTATTATCGGAATAGAGAGTTAAGTTCTGTTCTAATTTTTTTTATAGTAATTCATAACAGAAATTCCAATAAACCAACTTTATACACACAGTGTGTCACTGTACCAAATTTTTTTAAGTAACTTATAAAAAAACAGTTATGATATTTATATTGCAAACTAACTCAATTTTAACTACTTAATAGAATAGTAAGTAAGTTTTGTATAAAAAACAAATTAATTCCAAATTAACTTTACATATTACATTTTATTAGAATAGTAAATTTTATAAAAAAATTTTGATAATAACTTAATAGAAATTACAATAATTTTGATATAATCTAACTTAATCTTAATCACATACTGTATGTTACCAAAATAGTAAGTAAGTTCTATAACAGATTTTTTACAGTTAACTCACAATAGAAAACATAATAATTCTAATACTACTAACTTAATATTAACTATATACTGTATATCATTAAAATAGCAAGTTTTATAACAAAATTTTTTGATACAAACTAAATCAGTTACAGAAAGATTTCCTGAAAGTTATTATATAGGCCGATTGAACTCATATAGCATAATATAAAATGTGATATCTCACATGGTTACACTAATTGATAATCACAATAATGTTATTGCCTAAGTCTTTTTTTTGTCTTTTGTGCTCCAAAATCTATTCAATGAAGAATTCTTTGTTATCTCATGAAGCAAAAAAACATCCACATAACCGTGCTGTTTCCTACAGTTTTGTGTTTGAACTTCCTTCAAGTTGGTGTTTGTGCTAATTTTGGTTGGTCTTTCTTTCAAATGTAAAGTCCCACTTTCATACTTACCAACAGCCCAAGGCTCTAAACAATTTACTGTATACTGTTCTGAAAATCTTTTCTATTACGTATTTCACCAAAAACTGGGCTTTGAATACCAGCTAGCTTAACAAAAATATAAGTGCACATATAAAAGAAAGACCAGGTACCAAAGAATTAGATATATCTTCGCACATCCTGCTTGGAGTGAAAAAAAACAAATATAAGAACTGAGATTAAAGTAATGACAGAAAAAAAAGATCTATTAACACAGCAAATTATTGAAACTGAATTTGGCTTTGTTTGGAGAAAACAAACTACTAAAGAAAAATAAAATAAACAAGTTTATACATGAGCATATGGGTTTTTAAAATTTATATTCAAAATATATAGATGTAATGTAGTTATAGTTTAGATTTTATTTATTTTTTAAGCTTTATTATTTTTTTAGTACAAGTTAAGGACATTTCATTGATATTATAATAAAGCTGCTGATTTTTATAAGAACATATTTCATAAGTTGCAGATTTTGAAGAATCACTACCCCTTATCATAGTACCTCCATAAAATAATTGAACATGATGATTGTGATTTTTCTTTTTGACACCTGAACATGAAAACCAATATAAACATGGATTTTTTGCTTTAAAGAATTTTATGAATTTTGGGATATGACATGCAAGAACATGCATATAGAGAGTAATATTATTACATTGATAGAGTACCTCTTGTAAAACCTTTTCTTTTTTTGTCTCAATTGTTGGTTGACAAAATTTTTTAATCCATTAATATACTGAAATTTCAAAATTAATAATATCTTTATCTGTCAAATCGATTTTACGTATTGTTTTATATATATAAAAAAAATTATGCCAAAGTTTTTGTATTTCTTCTCCTCATTAGCCCATAATAAATAAACTTACAGAGAATTTTTTTAAAATTATTAATTTGTTGGGCCCATCAATAATATCCAATGCCATCTTCTCTTTGGTGTTTTAGGCTCTCTGAATTTAAAACTATTAACATCTATAAAATGAATTATTGTTTCAATTTGTTTTCGAATTGTCATTTCATTGTTATTTTTGTTTGTTTATTAAATATAGATTTAGTTGGCAATTCAAGAAAAAAACATTCAAATAAAATATTAGTAATGTGGAGTATTACATGTAACTCATCTGGCACACAATGCTGCTCTTCTAAAAAAGGCAAAAGATTTAAATTTTTTCACCCTTGGGTATTACATGAATTTTCATAATCTTTATCCATATCCCAATGGTTTATTTTTTTGCAATCACAATATAAACAAATAAATTTGCTGTTGGTCCTTTAGTGTCAAGAATTAAAGACATAAACTTCCAATTAGCACTAAACCAAAACTCAATTAGCCAATGATTGTTGTTTGAATCCACAATACTCTCTTTATTTAAAACTATTAATTCATCAATTAAAAAGCTAAGAGCTTTTTGAAGGACCTCATATTGTTTTACACCATTGTAAAGAAAAATACAATATTGATTGGAGGAACTTAAAACAGCATCATGTTTATTTAGCATGCATGCAATAAATATTAAATGATTATGGTGTTTGCCTACTTGATGTCCATCTCCACTTAATTTAATATGAATGACATCACCTATTTGTAATACAGATAAATTTCCATATGCTAATTTAGAAATTAAAATAAATAAAATATTTTTTAGTGACCAATAAGTGCCATTTGGAATTGTAGAATTAATTTGAACTGGGTGAATTGGAATCATATTGTTCATAATTCTTGTTATTTTTTGTCAATATTCATCAACTTTATATCCATGTTTCATTTCAGGTATAATACCTGCAAGTTGGCAATATCCATTATGAGAAATTAAAAGCTTGTCATAAATGCAAACTATTAAATCTAAATGCTGGTATGAATTAGATTTTTGAAAATCTAAATTTTGAAAATTAACTTGCAACCCATTCACATCTAGCTCTACACACTTTATATTTGTATTATAAAAATTATGCAACTGAACTGCAGACTTAATCCTATCGTAAATATCATGAGCTAAAGTTTTAAGATGCTTATTTTTTTGAGATTCAGACTAAAGTTTATAAAAGGATTTTTTTGTATTTCATTTCTAGAAAGTTCTAGGTTTTGATTTCATCATTTTTCTAAGCATTTTAAATCAAACCCAAAAAAGTATAACTCCTGAGAATTGTGAATTACTAGAACCTTTTAATTTCTATTTTTAAAATATATAATATATATAAATATATATTACAAAAATTAATTGATTTGTATATTACAATATTTTATTAATTATTTGAACCTGAAAAAGCAAAACTGTGATATTACTAGCCAATTTATTACTTGATATTGTTTGTTTTTTCCATTCGAATCATCCCAAGTAATTGTATATACTACTTTACTATGATCATACTAAGTTTCTGCAATAATATTTACACTGCAAATCTTAATGCCAACTATATATAGATTAGGAATTCGATAATAACTTTGTTGAGTTTGTATTACTTGTTGTAAGTAATACCCAAGGTAAAAATTTTGTCTTTTTATATTTCTAATAAATCGGGTTGTATATATATTTGGATAGTTATCAACAACTTTCAAGCTATTAATTTAAACATTTTCTTGCTAGCAAATTTCTTGAAAGGGACAACAAGTTGAACAGGAACATTGAACTTTTTCCATATAAGATTCAGGTTTTTTTTTTTTTGTTTAGAGAAAATGTTTTTATTTCTTTTTAAAAGTGTACAGTACAAGCAACAAAGCTTAAAAAGTTGTATATAAAGTATTAAAAATATTAAATATAACTGTAAACAATGTAGTTATTGAGAGTAGAGATGTAGCAACTTAGTGTAGTGGTCTAGTCATCACTCTTTCCAAGCAGTAGGTCTAGAGTATGAATTCCACTAGCGATGATTTTGAAAAATAGGCCTGTATATAGTTGATGGCTTTCTATTGGTCAGATCTAGATTAATCTATAACCTTGGTCACACCATTTAGTAATGAAAGCTTTGGTGCAATAAATCCAGGAGACCAGAATAACCAAAAACCTATTTGGCAAGTCCCAAGTTTAGAGATAGTAGTGATCTACAATGGTACCACGGAAGGGCTGAATTCGAACTGGGGCCCAAGATTGGAGAACCAAGTGACCAGGTCCTAATGGTGAAGAACATACCAGCTGAACCACCGGGTTGTCGCATCAGAAAAAAAGGATATACGCTCTGAAAGTATGGACCAAGAGGAGGGTATCTTTTAGGCACCTAAAGTCTGGGCAGACCAACCCTTCTGGGTTGCTGGCTAGAAGTAAGAGAAGGACTAATAATGAATTCGGATACGAAGACAGTCTAAATGCGAGGTACTGGGGTTGCTAAAAACCAAAACAAGAACAAAGAGTATATAATAGGCACCTAGTTAGGAAGGTTGGTACTTAAAAAATGTCTATAGAATGGCAGCACCCCAAAAGATGGTATGAAATACGAATATGAAATGGCAGGTAAATATATACTAATTAGGAAGAAGTTATAGGAACAAGCATATGAATACATGTGTGGGACATGTACCGCTATGTTAGGTTTACCTCAAGAATAGTTAAGTGTCCTAAGGTAGGGTGCGAAATTCACATTGGGTAATACCAAAATCTAGTGTATGAATAGTGAGCAAATCCATTGGGTTAGTGGACTAATGGAGGTAGTTAAAACCAGATGGTTTAAATGGGTACCTCCTAGTTGGGGTGCAGGTATGGTAGATAGTGTAGAACCTTCGGGTGGACTACTTAAATAGGCACTCAAAAGGTGCATGTGTGGTTTGATGTACCATCATTGTAATTACATATAAAAACTTCGTCTATACTCTAATAAAAAGTTCTCCAGACCAAAGAGGTCACCTTAATACCAAAAAAAAAAAAAAAAAAAAATCAGATTAAAATAAAATATGGAATTCTATTATACTTGTTTAATATAAACTCTACAACCTCTAATCTTAACTCTTAACTCTAAAGAATGCGCCCAACTGTCAAGTTTTTTATACTATATATAATTCACTTTAATAGGTGATTTACTAGTTACTTGTACAAAAAATTTTTTTTATATATTTATTTTACTATAAGTGCAAATACATAGCATCTCTTTCTAAAACTTTTTTTTATACTAAGTAAATTACTCTTTAGCTTCTAACAAAAGTTGTAGAGCTTATCAAAATATATTTAATATTGAAAGGATATTAAAATTGGCCTGGTAGTTCTTGAGAAATCTTTAAAAAACTTCTTTTTTCTATATAAAATTTTTTTAAAAAAAATTGATTTTTTTTAAAGAAATTTTATATATAAAAAAAAGAAGTTTTCTAAAGATTTTCAAAATCTACCAGGCTAATTTTAATATCCTTTTAGTATTAAATACATTTTGATAAGCTTTACAACTTTTGTTAAAAGCCAAAAAGTGATTTACTTAATATAAAAAAAGTTTTAGATAGAGATACTATATATTCACACTTATAGTAAAATTTATATATAAAAAAAATTTTTTTGTATAGGTGACTAGTGAATCGCCTATTAATTATTTTTATTTTACATTTATTATACAATTAATATGTATCCACACAAACATAATCTTGCACTACTATTTAACTTAACCCTAATACTAAACCTCGTATAACTAACACTAATACTAACTAAATCTGTATAACTAACATTAACACTAACTAAACCCCATATAACTAACACTAACTAAACCTCATATAACTAATACTAACACTAACACTAATTCTATAACTCTATAACTCTAACCCTAAGCCCATTCAACAACACACAGCAAGAACGACTCACCAAAGATGAAAAAAGCACCAACTAACAATGATACCAATGATAAAAAGGACCAATGAATATTAGCGATAAAAGAAGGCATCAGTGGTGGAGTTAATAGAAAAGGAACAAATCATTTTTAATAAAATTATTTTAATTTTTAAATTAAAATATCAACAACTAATTAACCAAATTTGCTTAAAATTTTTTATTTTAATTTTGAAATTATAAAGAATTAAAATAAAAAAATAATTATTAAGTTTGATTAGATAATTGCTAAAATATTTAAACTTAAAGTCAAGAAAACTTTTATTTAAAAAAAATTTGTTCCTTTTCTATTGACTTTACCCCATATAGGATATATTAACCAATTAAGATGGATTTGTATACTGGCTGTACCTGTAACAATCAGATGTATAATTGGTTTTAGTAAACAATAAGATATATATATATAAGCATAGATCTTATATCAATATACTAAAATACCCAGTATACAAATATACACTAAATATGAATAAGAGAGAAGGTATTATGATGCAGATGGGTATTGATGTACTCATATTTTTTGATGATATCTTGTAATACACTGATTAGAATTGAGTAATTTTGGTATCATATGATTCCTCTTACTTAAACAAATCAAATAATATTAAATTTATTTCATTTTAAGCAATAAAATTCGAGATACAACGAAAAAAAAAATAAAATTACTAATATTTTTGGCAACAACTTATAAGAATCTAATATAACCTGCTTAATCAAGTTAGTACCTACATGCTAGCACAATTATTAATTAAATTTATTTATATAAATACTATACTAAATTAAGTAATAAATTAATTTCTAATTGAAAGTTCAGGATCAAGACAATGAAAAATTCTGTCATACATGCTAAATTCATAAGAACTATAACAGTCTTTATAAAATCTTTAAAGCTAACATTAAATATATTAAATTCTTCTAGTATAAATAATATTTCAATAAATTTACACATTTCAAGCCCTTTAATTTTAAATTGATATTTATTTTCTTGATTAAAAACATTACCTGTGGCTTTACTAAATCTATTTTCATTAAAAGAATATGCTCCATCTTAGCTAGATCTCTAAAATAATAAATAACTTTGGCAAAATATATAATAAAATCTTTAATTTAATTATATTGGTCTAGATAAGCACAATGAATATCAATTGGCACAATGATTGCATTTGTAAAAATGAGTTTTAAAAATAATTGATCATGTTTCTTAATCTCTTATAGAGATATGAGAGAATATGAGGGGGAGTCAATAGAAATGGAACAAATCTATCTAATAAATTTGTCACATTTCTATTGACTCCCCCCCATATATTCATTTTTTCTTTAAATTCACTTGCAGTATAAGTGTTATTCATTAAATCGCTTTAAGTATTTAAAACTGGATCATTTAGACTTTTGTTTTGCAAATATGATATATTCAATATTTTGAGTTTTTTTAAGTTTTTTTTAGTATTGTAACTTATAAACCTATTTCATTTATATTTAAAAAATGCCTTTATTTGATTCACATATTTATTAATATTCAAAAATGCTTTTGTTTAATTACAGATTTAGTTAAATATTTTAGTAACTATAGGCTTAGTTAGATTAAATTGCAATTGTCTAGCTTTATTTATTTATTTGCATATAATCTTAACCATGATTATAACTGCATACAAATACAAACATGATCATAATTACATACAATTACAACTATAATTGTAATTATATACAAATGCAAAAATATGACTATAGTTGTGATTATATACAAATACAACTATAATCATGATTGTATACAATTGTGTCTATAATTGTAATTATATACAAACAAGAATATAGCTATAATTGTATACAAACATAATCATAGTTGTAATTGTATACAATCTTGATTGCAATTATGATTACAATTATACTTGTAAATAATGAACTATTGATCTATA